TATATGCAAGAGGCATTACTGCAATTCCCTAGTGTGCGCCGCTTGACAAGGCCTCCCCCGCCGCCACCCCCGCCCCCCAGTGGTGGGGCAGGGAGGAAGCCAGGAGCAGAGTGGGTGAGCGGTCAACTCAAGTTTACCTCCCCTCCTGGCCCCTCCAGGTCTCTTCTGCCCGACCTGCTTCCGCCTCCTGGACAACACCTGCTCCGTGTGCGCATCTCCCCTCTCCTACCAGGGAGAGCTGGACCTGGAGCTGTGAGTCCCCCGCGCGACGGGGCGGCGGGAGTCTGTGGGGCAGTGGGAGCAGCCACCCCTCCCCCAGGACCTCTGTGGGCTACTGACGAGGGAGGCTCCCCCAGGGACTCCAGCGACGAGGAAGGCCCCCGGCTGTGGCTGGCGGCAGCTCGAAGAAAGAACCCGGCGCAGGCGGGGTTACTGCGGCAGCGGCTCCAAGAAGCGCTGGGCAGGACCCTCCCATCGGGGTCCAGCTCTGAGCTCAGGTGAGCAGGAGGCAGGATTGGGGCCTGGGAGGCCTGAGCGTGTTTACAGATGGCCTCTCGGGTGCCTGGTCCTCTGTTGGAGCTGGAGACAGAGATGAAAAGAGGGGAGGGATGGAGGTTTTCGGAGTACTTGCTCCGTGTCAGCACCCCTGCCCCGGAGGAGCCCACTGAATGGGGGGGTGGGGGGATAGTGAACCTAATAGGTAAGTGACAGCGGTGTGGAGAGTGGCCCATGCAAGGAGTGAAGCAGGCGCTGGGCAGTACAGAGAACAACCCGTCTGGAATAGGGGTGCATTAGAACAACCCGTCTGGAATAGGGGTGCATTAGTGACGGCTTCTGAGAAGAGATGAAGAAAGAGGTGGGACTGGGAGCACCTTGGTGGTTTGTTAGGCTGAAGAGCGGAGGGAAGCATTCCGGGGCTGGGGGCCTGTGTGAGCCTGGAGACTCTGAGGCACTTGGGAGGGGAGAGCCTAAGGGCGGGCGGGAGCGTGTCTGGGTGGAAACCTCAGAGAATGCTGGGAGATGAGGTGGGAAGTCAAGGTGGGGAGAGACGGGAGAAGGCATGACTTGCCATCGGAAGATTGTGGGTCCGGAAGTGACAAGTCCGTAATTTGTCTTTTGGGACAATAAGCTAAGAAGGCAGAGAGGAGGCTGTCTTAGTTCAGGAGAAGTCGGTGGTGGCCTCAGGACTGGGGTGCCGAACGAGACGGGGGTTTATGCCTGGGACGGGGCAGGTGCCAGGGCGAGAGGAGGGGCAGGCCTGGGGTAAGAGGAATGGGCCGGTTGAGACCTTTGTGTGTCTATAGAGAATCCAACTGGAGAGGCCCCGGAGACTGTGGGAAAAGGGCCGGACTCAGGGCCACAGGGGCATTTTGGGGGGTGTTGACTGTAAGAAGGAGGATGAGCTAGACCATCCTGGCAGAGGCCATGGCAGGAGAGGAGAAGGGGACAGGGACAGAACCCCAAGGGGCTCAATCACAAACCAAGGAGGAGAAAGGCCCAAGAGTACAAGAACCAAGCACATCAAATGCTGAGATGGTCACGTAGGATGAGGACTGGAGACCGGCCAGGGAATTTGGTGGTTGAAGGCTCGTTGGAGTGGCTGGTGGAAACGTTGTTAATGGCCCCAGGAAGACCCAAACCGGATCAGAGTGAGTTGAGGGGTGACTGGTATAGAAGACTCAGACACAGGGTTCAAGGCCTTGCACCACTGTTGCAAGAAGTTTGAGAATTCTTTTTAAAAATATCACTGCTGTAGTTTAAAAAGGGAAGCTTGATGGTGAAGAGGGGGGAGTCGGCCCCACACGGTGAAAGAGTAGCCTAAAGGGGACCCACTACAGGAGTCTTCTTTCTCCAAGGACAGGGAGACCTGCGTATTTAGGAGGTGAACAGGAGCATGAAGGGAGAGGGCTGCTGGAGATGGGATGGGGTGGCCTCGGATAGGCTGTGCCCTGGTGGCCTGGCTTTTCTCTGGGGAGTAGGAGGCAAGGGTGCCTGCTGAGAGCCAAGGAGTGGAATCGAGGTTTTAAGGTGGTGGAGGGTGAAATGCCTGCCTACGGGAGTGTGCAAAGAAGCTGAGAGGGGGGTTAAGGGACTTCCAGGCAGCATTCAAGGCCCAGATGACTGACCTGTGTGCTCTGGTTGTGGTTTTTTGTTTTTTAACTTATTGATTTGAGAGAGAGAGAGAGCGCAAGAGAGAGAAAGAGAGAGAGAGAGAGAGAGAGAGAGAGAGAGAGAGAGAGATCTGCTGTTCCACTTATTTACGCATTCATTGGTGGATTCTTGTGTTTGCCCTGACCAGGGATCGACCCCGCAACCTTGACGCATCAGGATGACACTCACACACTGAGCTCCCGGGTCAGGGCGGTTGTGTGGGTTCCCCCGGCACATGCGGTAGTCATGCACAGGAGTCAAGGGCTTTTTCTGGGCGGGTCCGGGGAAGTACAAGACGGGGAGAGAATTCAGGCCTCTTCAGTAAGTGTCTGAGATGACTGGCCTGGGGGAAGAGGAGGCCTGTGACCTCAGGGGGAAGTCCAGGGTCTAAGCCAGGATGCGTTAGAGCAGGGACAGTGGCCAGGAGGGACAGAGAGAATGAGCCAGAGGGAAGAAATCGGGGATCGTTCCAGTGAGTGGCCAAAGTTGAGGGGGATGCCTGAGTGGGAGCAGAGGGGAAGGTCATGAGGACAAGGATTGAAAGGCCAGAGTTGGGTGAGTCCTCCAATGAGGAGGCTGCTGGGCCACCCTGGAAAGGTGTGGCAGAACCTCTGGGAGGCCTGGGGAGACAGCCAAGGCCGAGTGGTGTGGCTGCCATGGCAACCAGCAACGCCATTGGCCAGTGGGATTTGAGAGGCCAGCAGCCTCCACTGGGGAGGAATGTCCAGCGGGCACGTTCTGTGTGAAGGGGGCTGGGAGCCGTGTGGAGAGGAGAGGTTGAAGGGGAAGAGAAGTTCAGTGAATGTAAACGCTGAGTCACCAGAGGGGGCCGCTGGAGCCCGGAGCAGGTATTATCACCAAGTCCTTCCTGGTTCTGGCCTCACTAGACATGTGACCTTGGGCAAGTCACTGCCCGCCGGCCTGTCATCATCAGCCTGAAGTCAGATGTCCACAGCCCTGGGCTGATGTGCCTGGGGGCCTGCTGCCTAACCAGAGGCCCATCTGAACAGATGGGACAGGGACAGGAATGAACCTGTGAGAATGCTGGTGGCCGACGGGGCCCTTCCTTGCCTCACTAGTGACCTGGATGAGAAGGGACCTTGACAGAGGCCGCACAGGCCACAGCCCCCGCCTGCGGCCCCATCGCCAGCATTCCCGAGCCTTCAGCCGCAGGGACCACTCCCCAGCCCTGGAGCTCCCGGCCCTGCCTCTCCTCCCCGTCACCTCCTGATCCTCCCACCTGCCCCCAAATAAAGCAACCAAAGGTGAACGATGTGAATCTTAAATTATTATTATTTCTTCCTGTCACTTACACCAGAGGTGGGGGGTACGGGAAGGGGAAGGGAACAGGAGAGGGGGGTTGCCTCCCCCCCTAAGGCACTGAGTGGAGAAGCAGCAAGGAGGGAGGGTGGAGGCCACACTGTCCTCACTCCCTAGGGATGGGCCCCAGGTCTCCCCAACCTTGGGCTCCCCTATCACCTGAAATGCTAAGATGAGGCCCAGAGCAACCCGACCTCCCCCTACCCCAATATATTACAACATTACTTTTTAAATAGATTCAGGGACTGGTCCCACTACCCTCCTCCCCGTGACCCTCCCCCCCACAATTGGGGGGTACCTGGGCAGCTGTGCAAATGGGCATAGGGGTGCATGGGAGGGAGAGCACCGGGCCCCTGAACCTGCCCCTTTTAAGGAGGGGGAGGGGCCGCGAGGTGGGGGGTGGGGGTTATAGTGCAAGGCAGAGCCCAGGCCACAACGGGGGGTCCAGCACCCAGCGAGGAAGGGGAGGGGGCGGAATTGGGTCGTTAAAAATCTGAAACTAGATCTCGACAAGACCAACAGAAGAGGCTATGTACAGAAGAGGGCGGGGTGGACCTCAGCAGAGCCTGGCTGGCAAGGTTCGGGGACATGGACTCCTTCCCCGCTCCCGGGGCCCAGCGAGAACCTATCTGCCGGCCTCCAAGAAGGGGACCGGCTCCCCAGCCC